ATAAAACCTTTTTTTTGTGAAAAATGATTTAAAGGCTGAAACATATTTACTATGTGCCTGGGGTGGGCAGGGGGTTGGTGGCAATGTAAAATTCTGGATATTTTCAGCAGGGCGAGGCCTTCGATTACCTCTCTCTTTTATGACCATACATGTGTTTGAATCCCTGTTCGAGCTTTGTGACATAGTGCATTATCCTCACACATCGTTGTTATCATGTAGAAGCACTGCTGCGTTTGTGACAGGGCGCATGAACTGAACGAGCAGAGATAGAGCCCAAGCAGTCACGCGCACTCTCAGACTCGCACTCTCACTTACACACTCTCTCTCTCTCTCTCTCTCTGCGGAGCCAGACGAAAGCTTTTTGCCCGATCGTAACCAAACCAGTGCAGCAAGATTCTTTGGAGTCTCATTCTCAATAATTAGCCTATCAAGAAAATTTTGTTGCACAGTTGCTAGGGTTAATATGTAAAAAATGTCTAAAAACCCAACCATTAGCCCAAATGACTTGAAAATTGGCATGCACTGTCTTTGTATGAGGTGCCACAATAGTCTATAAGGACATTTGCATATCTCAAAAAACATGGCCGAAAAATGAGAAGCTATCAGTCAAGGTTCCTGGAGGCTGATTAGAACGAAACTCAGTGAGCATGTTTGACTCATGGCTCTAGAGTTCTGAAAGAATTTTGAAAGAAATCTGCCCCTAGTTGGCGCTAACTAGCTTTATGCCTCTTTAATCACATTGTTTTCCACACATACACACAACAGTCATATAATTTGCTCCGCATACAAAATAACAGCTGAAAAACTGTTTCAAACTATATCTTTCTTTTGTGAAGTAGATGATATATTATTACTTTTTATTCATTATAGATAAAAAGTATGTGATTAAAACAGATAAAGTGAAGGATTTACTTTCATCTATGGCATCACTTAGACTCTCAAAGACATCAAGAATCGGCATATAAATCTCAGCAATGGTGATTACAAGTATTAATGTAAAAATATATGATAAGAGTCTGGGTGAGTACATGTGCTGGTACCCAGCATGCAGTGTGACATTTTAATGTCACCATCGTTGAGATTCATATGCTGGTTCTTGATCTCTGTATGAGTCAGCATAACACCACAGAGTTTTTTTTTTAAATCTGATTGTCACAACAATGGATCTTACAGTGTCACATTTATACTATAATTAATAATTCAAAACTAGATCACCTGTTTAATCAGAGATTAGGCTCTGGATAATTTCAGTGAAACAAGTCACCAAATTATGAGTTTTATCATCAAAAAACAACCATCAACTCCTGATTATAATTTATTTTGGCTTATGTACCACAAGAAGTGTGTTTTAATAACACAAAGTTACTGCAGCCAGAGAAAAAATTATATTATAAAGCAGTGGCGTAGTTTTAATTTTGAAATTGGTGGGGACGGGGACAACAATATAGAAATATATTTTAAGTTTTAAATTTTAAGATCGAAAATATTTCTAGGGATACATCAGTGTCACTGGTAGGGACACATTTCTACTAAATTCTGCGCCCCTGTTTTAAAGTCAAGGGTCAAGAGCCCAACTAAAGCAACTCTGATCTCCATTATGGAAAATTTGCCTTGCTTTAGTGGAGATAAACTGATACTTTTATAACAGTCACATTTAAAGGAAAGCAATCTAATAAATGGTCCTCTGCTGATTATAATAGGCTTCTTTTCTTACTACTCACTAATGTGTTTCTATAATTCATATTTAGACATTATTAAACAGAGGTGGGTATCAACGAAGTTTACTTCTTTACATTTACTTGAGTATTTTTTTGGAAAATTTTTACTTTTAAGAGTAGATTTAATTGTGGGTACTTTTACCTTAACTCGACTCGAGTATATTTCTATTGAAAAAAAAATGTACTTTTACTTCGTTACGTTGGGCGACGTTCATCTCGTTACTTTATTTTATACCATGGTCTGGGTGAATACTCAATTCTGATTGGCTGCAGGGTGTCCTTTAAAAAGTGATAGAGGACACCTAGTAAAGTAGTTCTGGTGAAACTGCCTGTTTACCATTCGAAATTAATAAATGAATGCGCTGCCTACAACAGCTGTGAGTAACCATAGCAACAGGCAGTCAAATGCTCTATCAAAACAAACATCTAACGTTAGATATCAGTGATGCGCGGGTCAATGTATAAACAACCCGCAACCGACCAACGTTTTCAGCTACCCGCCCGCAACTCGGACCGCAAAAAAAAGAAAAAAAAACATTGTACCCGACCCGCTTCCTGACCGCATTTTTTTAAAGTAGTAAATGCTCATCGGAGCGTTATTGGGCCATACAGACGTGTAACAACACAGCATCGCAAGAAGACGTAGGCCTACACATAACAAAGGCAAAGCCAGCACTTTGGTCATCATCTTTCATTATTTCTGCAAATGTCTCCCACACTTTTACTCTTTCTATTTGTGTATTTGCGGAGCTTCCACTCCCCAGTCTTCACCTTTTCTCTTGCCGCCTCCATCTCTCTGCAGACTGTAGTGATCATCGTACATGGCCGGTTCGTGAACGAATCGTTCTTTTGAACCGGTTCTTTTTAGTGAACCGGTCGAACCAGTACACTCGAACTGAATCGTTCGAAACAGTTCGCGTCTTGCGTCAGTGCTGATCCACAAGTTACTAAAGTTACTCACTTTCAGACATGCCTGACAGTCGCCTCCGAATCGAAATAAATCAATATCCTGAATTATATTTTACTCCAGTAACTCCAACAGTTCACTGAACCGAGACATGTTGGTGCCACTGTTGAGAGAAGTGATGAGCACGAGCAGCTGATGCGTCTACCGAACGCACAGGGACAGCGGTTCTCGAATCACTAGTATAGAACCGAGAACTGTTTAGACTGACCTTGTGTGTTATCTTCGTGCCAGTTATTCAGCCAATAATGTGTAGGGCTGTATATTTCATCAAAAATTGTGTCTAGTACTATATACAAATGTTTAATTGGCATCTTTTTTCAAACGACCCGACCGACCGCGACCCGAATATCATTAAAAACATTTTTGGATGACCCGTAACTGCGGGTAACCGCGGGTGACCGCAGGCACCCGCTCATTTCGGATCAACCCGCGCATCACTGTTAGATATTATAGCCTAATATAACAATGAGCGACTTTGTGCTATTTCTTTTAACATTTATGGAGAATATGACAACTTTGACGACTGGTATGCTGCTGAAGAAAGAAAAAATTTAAATAAAACGGAGAAACGACCCAAAGAGATAACACCAGGAGAATTGAAATAGAAGACGAAAAAGATGAGATCAACACGAAAAAAATATGAAATCGGCAGTAAATACACTCAGAGACTTTATTGTTCAAAAAGAAATGGGACCCCAGCTTTGAAAATTACACCGCTGCTGCTCTGCTCCATTGAACTCTATTGGTAACGACGGAACTTGCGACCAGTTGGCTAACGGTGCTTTCAGGAAACGCACCCCTGAATGAGACCCTGCGGGAGTTTTACGCAGCTGTCCAGACAGCCAAGGCAGGAGGAGAGTAACGTTACAGCGTTTCAAGCCTAAGGAGCCTGAGGAAAATGCCTCTCTTTGATCTGATTAATTTATTGCCCTCTATAACATTAAGCGCAAATCGCTGGAGCTCAGAACTAATTGTCCTCCGAGTCCTCCGCTGCGCGTCGGCCGGTTTACACCTCGCCGTCGTCCATTAAAACCTGACAATGGACACCTCGCCGGGCATTAACCCTTACTTAATGCAATATGTTGTTTAAAGTGTAGTTTATTCTATAACTCTCTCTTTTTTCTTTTTTTTCTTGAGCGATGCTCAATTCACAAATGAATCTCTCTTTTGAGTCTATTCTGTTCAAAGACTTCATCAAACAAGTTGGGCAGATCTGTCTAAATCGGTTCGCGAATTAGTTTGAAAGATCTGTTCAGTTTCCTGCACGCACTGAATCGTCTCGGAGTCGTAGGAAGATTTAACAACATCAAGAGCGTTGTATGAAGTATGAAGTTTTATAAATCATACTGAGAGTGACTTACAGTGATCAGAGTAAAATGTCTGATGTGTTTGAACTATAGACTGTAAAAAAAATGGACAAAGTGTCTGTGCGTTACCCATAGACTTTCTGAATAACGGTTTTGAGGTCGTTTATGGGTGTATGGGCGCCGCCATCTTTTGAAAATCTTGGGAAATACTAACCGCGCCCACCTTCTGGCCAGGCTACTTTTCACAGTCTATGGCTTACATTCACTGCAAAGCTGATGAAGAGCACTCCAATGTGGCACATATCAATCTATTCTTATGTTACATTTATTCATTTGGCAGACACATTTACAGTGTTTCAAACGTTAGTTATAACCGGTTATAACCATTCCCAGATAGCAAACTGATATTGAATCAATGTGGAAACATGACATCGAAACAACGTTGATCTGACATTGTTTTGCTCATTGAATTAACGTTGAACCAATGTCAGACGTGTCATTCTTCAAAACTAACGGAAAATCAACTTGAAATCAACGTTGTTTTAACGTTATGAAAGCAAACCAATTTTCGATTTCCATTTAGCTTTGAAGAATGCCGTGTCTGATGTTGGTTCAACGTTAATTCGATGAGCAACAATGCCAGATCAACGTTGTTTCGATGTCATGAGAGACATCGTTTCCACGTTGATTCAATGTCAGTTTGCTGTCTGGGTAGGCATAGGCGTAATTTGCTCTGTCATGCTTGGTAACATTTCTGCCACTGGACCATTAAAGTGCATGCATGCAATTGTCATATCTATGCATTTCTTTACATGAAAATTCTCACCAACAACAACATATTTGATCTCATTAAACGACAAATTAAACACAGTGTACTATTTAAATTGTTTGCTGGACATCGGTATGCTATTGTACATAGGTACATCTGACTTATGATTTAACATTGAGTTAGCCCCCCCACAATAATAACATGAAGAATAAAAGCAGCTGTTGATTGTGTCTCATCAGCTCCTGTGATTCTGGATCCAAACACTGCACAGCCATGTCTCGTCCTGTCTGATGATCTGACCAGTGTGAAAAAAAGTGATACACATCAAGATCTTCCTGATAATCTTGAGAGATTTGACAACTATGCATGTGTTCTGGGTTCAGTGGGTTTTAATTCAGGAACACACTGCTGGGATGTGGAGGTTAAAAAGTCTTCATGGTGGAGTCTTGGAGTAACTACAGCATCAAACCAGAGGAAGGGAAAGGTTTTCTATAAGAGTGATGTCTGGTTTGTGCAGTACGGATGGTCTTTTAAATCTGGTTTTAAAGTTGATCAGAATCTCAATCGTGTGAGAGTGAATCTGGACTATGACAGCGGAACGGTGTCATTCTCTGATCCTGAAACAAACAAACATCTACACACATTCACAACCACCTTCACTAACACACTCTTTCCCTTCTTTCATTGTTATCCCTCTCTGAGTATCTTACCGGTCAATAGTCAGTAATCGTGTCCTTATCAGAAGCGAGGCGATAAAATTCCAGCGACACTTTCTTTACTGCACTGGCAAGAAAATGGATATGTACATAATTAAATTCACAAATATTTCACAATTTAAACATTATTAAAAGTACATACTGAGTTACTAAAACAATCTTTGCTGAAGAATACACTTGAATACACAGTTGAATGTTTTTTCTATTTGTTTAATTTCAAGGTCTGAGGTGAATTATCCGTTGTTGCTTTTAAGTCAACTCAATTCAATTCAAATTTATTTGTATAGCGCCTTTTACAATACATATTGTTTCAAAGCAGCTTTACAGAAAGTGCATTTCTGAAATGTACTTAAAAAATGCAGTTAGTTAATCATGTATTAATTTAGGGCATAACACATCGCCAGCGTCGAGTCGTCTCTTCACAGGCGTCGAGTCGTTTCATCACAGGTGTTGGGGCATACGTAAGAGGCGGGATATAAAATGGAGCTGAGGAACGCTGTTTACCTAATATAACAGCCGAAAAGCAGATGGGAAATAATTAGCAAAGCTGCTGTACATAATATTAATGCATTCGATCTGATTCAACAGTGGTATAAAAGGTAAGCATTATGTGAATTATGGGCTAAAGCGATGCGTCTTTAATCAAGTTTTAAACTGGGACAGCTACAAAGCTGGAGTACTAAACAATATTTAAAGTCACATTACACGCTTTTAACTTTAAACACAGCACATAAACAGTGCCTGAGATTATCATTGCTACACTTTGTATTTGTTGTTCCAGTGCGACGTCGCAGAAAAATAGGAACTGCTTCTAAAATAGAATTGTCGCTGTCGCGGCTGGATTGCACAACAACTCTGATTAACATAGAAAATATATCTTTTATCGCGAATAGCTTTGCCTGTAGTTAAGATATGGTGTAAGAGACTATTGTTCTGAATATCAGATCAGAAAACGTACATTTACTCATGTTTATCTTTAAAAATGAAAAATTATTAAAACACACGGTGAAGGGTTCAAATAAATAATGTTAATCATATCTGACCAATGAGAAGCAATGATGTGTCATGAATTACCCGCTGAAGGGGCTGTATCACCTATTTGTTTGTTTTCAGCACTATTATTTTTCTTACTGAATGGGAGAACATGGCAGCCTAATGAACGGAACATGAGAAAATGATGAAATTTGGCAATTGTAGTGGTCACCACCAGTTAAAAAATGTACTTTTTGTACTAAAGGTTATAACTTTAGAACCCTTTGTTCTATAAAAATCAAATTGAGTTTACCCGTTTCCTCTCTTCATGCTGGTCACATTTAATATCTTACATGAAGACTCCACCCGTTACAGTAGCAGCCATTTTGAAAAGTAGAGATTTACATTTATTTGCTACTCCTTTAAAATTTGTTAATTTTTTCCAAAATCTGATCAAATAATCATTCGACTGAGCTGCACAGAAATGAGCTAACATATATTTTTATTCAACTTTTGAACATATATCTTTGTTCAAAAGTTATGATTGCAGCAAACTTAACAAGCTTGACCCAAAATTGGCTCAGAGGCTGTATCTCGATCAAACTTTGATCAATCGAAATGAAAGTTGGTACGCGTCATTGGAACCATGATCTGAGGGTCCATGCCAAATTTGGGAACAGAGCCTTTTTTTTAGGTTGATTCTACTATGGAACTTCGGCATCTGTGTGGGTTGAATCCCGTGTGAGGATTACGTATAAAGGGCATATTGCAGGTTAGAGGACCCAACGAGTCAATGCATAGAAAAATAATGTAGGAACATGATTTTCTTTAAAATATATTTACAAATACACTACAGAAGCTTCTGGAGTCGTTTTTGTGAGAAAATTTTACCTCCGCGTCTGAAAATGGGCGTGGCGGGCGTGACGCAACAAGCGGGAGAGCCGTCGATTCGAACAACAGGAAAACAATGGATCGCAATGACATTTCGGACGCTGAGGAAATACTCGTATGATGGACCAAGCCATAAAGTTATGAGCCTGCTATGCTAAAGAGAGCAGGGACAGGCCAGGATAATGTCAGACAGAACGATCAGAAACAAATTGAGTTGTGGTGTGAGAAGAACCAGTGGAGAACAGGACAGGTGTCTTTTGGTGAGAGACGTGCTTATAGATATACACGCTCGCTAACGATATACACTGTGCTCACAATACTGTACAGATTATTATGATCCTATAACAGGCCAGCAGACATTAGTATGTTTAGGGTAGATTTATACTATTAAATGTATAAAAACTATACTTGAGTATATTTCTATTGTACTAAAAGCATACTCGGGTAAATTTTTAATACATATTTTTTACGAGCAGTCCAAGAAACGCTCACTTTATCTACTAAATTAGTGCCCTTATGTTGTTTTAAAACATTTTAAATCCCGCATTAACTTTTCATATGGTATTTTCATACAAGGTTATCTATAAATTTAGATTTTTTTTTTACCTGCAATATGCTCTTTAACAAAATTCTGTGTAATGTTGTGTCATTTCAATTCCTTTATTATCCAGGTAAGCGTTGTACTAATCTTTCTTCCTATGGGATTAGAAATGAGTGTGTTTTTGTGCATTCTATGTTGATTCTCACCTGATGTCTTGAGTAATCAGAAAGTTGTATGATCATACAAGATGGTTATAGCAGTCTTTGACTTTCACTTATTCTGATTGTAATGTAAGCAGTTACATAAATTGGTTGTTTTCTTCATATTCAGTTTTTTGCCTTTGTGTGTTAACTTTTTCGTCATTGTAAATTATTAAGCTAAAGAGCTTTAGAGGGTGTTATTAGATGTTGGTGGTCCAAGTAAAACTCTATTTTGTTAATTGTTCTGCCTTTTAAACATTTAAGTTTAAATACATAAAGCTTTAAACTGAACAACACCAATGTGTATTTATTGTCTCAACCATTGTCAATGGGCACTTCAGCAAAGTACATTTCTGCCTGTTCCAAGAAGAGCATCACTGACTAAAAGCAGTAATACATTTGAAATATTAAAATAAGAGACTGACTTCAGGACAACAGTTAAAACATTGTCCAACTTTAATTGTAATTATACTTGAGTGTTTATTGTATGGAATTGAAAGTATACTCTACATGACAAGAAACACTCAATTATTATTTACATGACAAGAAACACTCAAGTATTATTACCATTCAAGTCTGAGAAAGACAGTCACTAATTTAGGCTATGTTAAAACAATAAAAAAATGAATGTGGAATAACAGCCTACAATTAAATTATATCTACTAAAATGCTCCATCCACAAAGGACCATTTTTCAAGGTAAGGTTCAAGGTTCAAGGTTTGGGGGGCATGGGGGTTTCAGAGGGTGTAGTTTGAGTTCAGTTCGAGTTCAGGGCCCTCACGGCTTGGGGGAAAAAGCTGTTGAGCAATCTGGCGAAGCGGGCTCTGATGCTCCGATACCGTCTTCCTGATGGGAGCTGGAAGAGACTGTGGGAGGGATGGGTGGAGTCCTTAACAATACTGTTGGTTTTGCTTGAGCATCGTGTAAGGAAAATGTCCAGGATGGAAGGGAGAGGGGCACCGATGATCTTTGCAGCTGTATTCACTGTCCGCTGGAGGGTCTTGCGGTCAGCAGCACTGCAGTTCCTGTACCAAACAGTGATGCAGTTAGTCAGCACAGTCTCAATGTGACTGACTGAGGTCTACCTATAAGAAAGTTCAGGATCCAATTACAAAGGGAATTGTTGAGGCCCAGCAGGTTTAGTTTATGTCATGATAGATCAGACGGAAGCAATTGCAGTTAACTATTTATTGGAATGATGGTATACATAGACAGTCCCAATATCCAGGCACACAGGTTAGCAGCGGAGGGGCTCCAATGGTCAGAAGATAGTGCAGCGTGCAGTGGTGGTGGTGGTGGTGAAATCCAACGACGAACAGTAATCCAACATCCAACGAACAAGAACCGGAACAAGAGAAGCACATGACTGAACGAGACTGAGAACACACACACCGGGAACCACAAACAACGATCTGACAAAGGAGAAGAGAAGTTGATGAGAATATATACACATGAATGATAGACTGCAGCTGGTGATGGGTGATTGCTGATGAGTGCTGATTGAGCGGCCACGCCCCTCTCATCAGCACACACATGCAACAATAACAGAAACACGAGACAAGAAGTAGACATAGGATTTACCAACCGTGACAGTACCCCCTTCCCTAGGAACGCCTCCTGGCGTTCCCAGACTCCCTTACCTGCCGATTGTAATCATCGATAAGGGAGTGATCCAGGATGTCTCTAGCCGGTACCCAACTTCTCTCCTCCGGACCGTAACCTTCCCAGTCCACCAGGTACTGGAATCCGCGCCCCCTCCGTCTCGAGTCCAGCACACAATTGACCGAATAAGTGGGTTCCCCGTCTACGAGACGCGGCGGGGGGGGGGGGACCGGGACTGGCGGATTAATGCGAGCATAAAAGACGGGCTTAATTTTGGAAACGTGAAATACGGGATGAATCCTCCTGTACACTGGAGGAAGATTCAGGCGGACTGTCACCGGACTAATGATTTTGGTGACAGCAAACGGGCCAATGAATTTAGGTGCAAGTTTATTCGAAACGGAACGGAGAGGAATGTCCTTGGTAGAAAGCCACACTTTAGAACCGACGACGTATACGGGAGGTCTCCGCCGGTGGCGATCGGCTTTGACCTTGGTGTGCGCCCCCACTTGGAGTAGAGTCTCACGGGCTCTAGTCCAAGTGCGGTGACACCGCTGGACGAAGGCGTGGGCGGAGGGGACCGCGACTTCGGATTCCAGACTAGGAAAAATAGGTGGCTGGTAACCTACACTACACTCAAATGGTGATAGGCCCGTGGATGACTGGCAACGTGTTGTGGGCGTACTCCACCATAGACAATTGCTGGCTCCAGGAGGAAGGATTCTTGGACACTAAACATCGCAACGTTCTCTCCAAATCCTGGTTGGCTCGCTCAGTTTGACCATTGCTCTGGGGATGGAACCCA